ATTCTACGGGAGATAAGGGAAGTTAAAGATTTGACTAGATATTGGAAAATTAGTTTCCTAATCTCATGGTCATTATCTTTAAATTTTATTTAAGAGAAAAAAATAATTAAATAATGATTAGTGGGGCGGACTAGTTCAGTAGCCGCCCCATATACTCTTTATTATACATATGTACATATGAGATGTACTTATAAAAACTAATTCCTCTCCCAATTATCAGATACAGATTTTTGAAAAAGTGCACACGACTCTGACTCCTTTTGCAAGAAGAAGAAAAAAAAAAAGTTTTTTTTATCTCCTCTCTTATTTGATTCCAAATACCAATTCAAGTACCAGATAAATTCTACTAGCGAAGAAGATTATCTCGGTGTTGGAATCCAAAGGTGGACTTGCTTAGAGGGAAGACACGTGGATCCCTACGGCGAGATGAACGAGACGGTGATAGCCACATACCCGGGAATTGATTCTCTCATCATCGTCGCTATTTGAAGAAAATTATAAGGTAATTTTCAAAATACTCTACAAATCATAATTCATACTTTTACGTGATTTTATAAGATGCCGATCGTTATAATCGCTACGTGAGCCAACGGGGTTAGTATTTATTCGATAAATGCATATTTATTTTGTTTAATTTCCGCTGCGTTTCACCCCGTGTGGTATAACGAACCCAACACTTTTTATGTTATCCATTGTGTGATGACAGTTTAACGTTCTAAAAAATTGTTGGTAAATGAAATAAATTGGTTGGTTATGCATTTAAGTTAAGCTCTTCCAATCTGTAGACAATTATTTAATTTTTATATTTTCTCTCCGAATCAATCTAGTTCCTATTGATTATCCTATTGATTATCAATAGGTACCCCTAACATGGAATCCTCGGTAAACAACATTACCATTTTTTTTTTATCGTTAAATGTAAATATATATATCAAAAATGTGTCGGGAAACTGTTCAACGGTATACAAAAACCTAATGGGCAACCCCTGAGTGGGTTCCTCATACGCGAGCTTAAATATATATGAGGCCAACCACAAGTCGGTAGGTCACTCTCTAGTACTAGGCACCAAATGAAAAATTCGTACGTAGGAAAAATTCAAAGGTCTCGTAAAACGTTTCGTTATATAAGCGTAGGAGAAAACGGCAATGAAAACCGAGCGGACCCGGACGGTTCTAGAATGCTCGTCTTGGTCGCAGACGCGCGCAATGGCGCTGGGCACGCGCGTGTGGTGCTGGATCTTGGAACTCGCGGGCTCCAGATGGTTCTCAGGCACGAGTTTGAAGGCTGGGTGTATGGCTCGCGGAATAATGGCACTCGCGGGCGCTAGAAGATTCGCAGGCACGAGTTTGTAGGCCTAGCTCGTGGAATACGGCAGCTCGCGAAAACTCGTTCGCAGGCTCGAATTTTATGGAGTTTCGCCTCTGTCCATGTGCAGTTGCTCGCGGAAATGCTTCTGCTCGCGGAACCTCATTCGGAGGCGCGAGTTATTGACCCTGGGAGTGCATTGCAGCTCGGGAAAAGCACCCATCTTGCGAAGCTACCACTTGCGGGCGCGGGTATCCCCGGGCCAACTCTGGCCAATGCAGGCCTGGGGCCATTTTCCCACACTTTGGCATATTTTGAGCATTTTCGACCTTCTTCGACTCCGAAAGAGCCTCTCAAAGCCCAAGGCACCTCCTCTCAAATTCAACAAGTACATTCGGGTAAGTAGCAAAGATAGTTCGATACACATGTGTTTTTACCTTGCGAATTACAAGACTCGTGCCTTGGTATTCATTTTTGAACACCAACTGATTCCCAGCATTCCAAATGAAGTATACGGTAGCCGCGAGTGCCGCTTTTTTCAACTGTGTTTGCCACCCACTCCCTCTCGCCTCCTTCTTGATCCATTTGAGAGTCCCTTTTAGTGTAATCGGCCTATATCGGAGGCTAATCCAAGTACGAATCTCAGCCCAAACCTCCGAGCCAAAGGAATACTCAAAGAATAGATGGCTCGAAAATTCATTCGTAACTCCACAAAGAGGGCATATTGGATCTTCTTCAAGGAAGTCGAGTCGAACTCTTGTCCGGATCCAGTTGAGCATCCCCAACCAAAGGATGAAGGAATGCTTAGGGGTGTTACACGGGCCCCAAACCACCCCATTCCACGGTACCATAGGTCGTTTAGGCCTAAGGAAGTCGTAGCACTTGCTAGTCCCTTCTTGGCGTTCACGAGCTTTCCATCTTTGAAGAAAGGCTTTCGCTTCCTGGGCACTCCCCGCCTTTTCCACCAAGCCTTGTCGGATGTCAAAGAGGGTTTTGAAGAGAGGTGAATCTGTCGGTCTTATTTCCCAATCCCAAATGGATTTTCCCTCCAAATAGATATTGTGAATCCATTTGTGCCACAAGGTATCCTTCTTTGCTTGCATATTCCAAAGTGTCCGGGTGAGCAATGATTGGTTCCACGCATTCAATTCTCTAAGCCCGAAAACACCTTCCAACCGCAGCAAGCATAAACTATCCCAAGCCACGGGAGCACTCTTCGAACCCCAAAGGAACCTTCGACATAGATGGGTGAGTTTTGTACGACCTATGCCGGGCAAGTAGAAGATCCCCATCCAAAAAACACTATGCCTTGTATTACCGAGCGTAGCAGTTCTAATCTCCCCGTGTAGGAAAGAGAATGCCCATTCTACCTTCTAAGTTGACCTTCGATTTGCGCAATCATATTATCAAAGAGCCTACCGGTAATTCGGTACGCAGAGAGAGGGACACCAAGGTACCGAAAGGGGATTGGGCCATATTGCAAGTTGGTGTCATCAAGGATTGTAGCCTGAATATCATCTCTGACCCCAGCCAAATAAATATTGGATTTTAGCACATTCATTTCAAGCCCCGACTTAGCTCCGAAGTCCTGAAGACAATCCATGAGAATTTGAATTGACTGAGGGTCTCCACGAGAAAAAAGCATAAGGTCATCGGCGAAGGCAAGGTGCGAGATTTTTAAGTTCTCGCACATCGAATGGTATTTGAAGTTCGTGCCGACCGTCGTATTGCTCTTGATCAGTCGAGTGAGGTACTCCATACAAATCACAAAAAGGAAAGGTGATAGGGGGTCACCTTGCCTTAAACCACGAGCTCCTTTGAAGTGGCCTTTGAGGCTCCTGTTAATACAAAGAGAGAATGATGGAGTGGTGACGCACTCCAAGACCCATCTCATAAAGTCCGGAGGGAAGCCGAGACCATTGAGCACTTGCTTAAAAAACGACCAAGAAATTGAGTCGAACGCTATGCGGAGGTCGATTTTGATAATACACCTCGGGGATACATGTTTCCTCGAGTAGAGACGAAACAATTGTTGCATGAGGTGAATGTTGTCCGTGATGCTCCTCCCTTTCACAAAGGCAGCTTGAGCCTCGTCAATGATAGAGTCGAGGACGCCTCTAACACGATTAGCTAGGATTTTGGAGCATATCTTATAAATCGTGTTGCAACACGCAATAGGCCTAAGTCCGTGACTTGGGAAAAAAATTTGGACCATTTCTCGATTTTTTTTTTTAATTCAAAGGTAGATGGGTTTTGTGATAGAAAAGAGAAAGAAGGTTGGCTGTTGTGTAATATTTTGTGTGGTTTTGTCTTCTGTATAATATGTTTTGACTTCGTGATAATTAGGATGCAAAGTTTTTACTTGTAAATGTTGTTCGGCATTTGGCAATGCAAGTTGGAATTTTCAGTTGTATATACTAGAGGGATTACGGGGGAATTTTCAGTTGTATATACTAGAGGGGTTACGGCTGTGCGCCACCAATTTAATCAATGATAAAATAAAAATTTTATGTGCTATGAATCTCTAAAATTAGTAAATTAGTACGTACGACAAAAGGATATAAAAACTAATTCGGTAAGACAAAAGGATAGAGAAACTAACTCGGATACATTAAACAGAGATCTCAATTAGAACATGATCTCTTAAAAATTTTAAAAAATAAGTTCAAGAAATAACTACAAGCATTGAGAAATAACTTAAAAAAAAAAAAACACGATAGCATGCAAATCACTTTAGCCGAGCTACACACCANCTCAGCACAATAGACTCATCTTTATGACAAAACCGTGATGGCAAACACAATTGTTCGAACATTCAATAGAAATAAAACATCATTTATGAAATTCGACAACAATTTTGTTCCCTTAAAAGGTGAGCACCCCATAACCCGATAGAACAATAGTGAAACCACCTTGTTCTTTGATAAATGATAGATAAAATGAAAATATACTTGGACATGATTTTGGTAAGTCCAATTTCCAAAAGTCACAGCACTTTCCCAATCTTTTGAGCACAGAAAAGCTTTCTCACAAGGTTTATAGTAAATTTAGTATTAAAAAAAAAATATATATATATATTGCAATTTCAGAACATGACATTCAGTAAATTCATATTTCTTTATAGACACAAGTCACACAACACAAGAAAAATGTGTTTGACATTTGTGTATCAACATATTTGTGTATCATATATCAAGAAAAAAAAAAACTAAAATACACATAATTCATCACTACATGTTGACTACGGAGTCCAAAGTGCTAAAAACAATTGATATTAGCTAAATTTAGTCGAATACTTTATAAATCATAATTTTTCCCCTTCATTGCCAACCCCCTTAAATTCAGTCCATGAGAAGAAAAAAATAAACGAACAAAAATAATAACAAAGTTGTGAAAATTTTACCTGAAATGTAGCCAAGGACCGGCCGCACGAGGATGGATATGACGTGTGAAACGTGAGGGGAATGGTTGAGTTTGTCTTGAAAACCAGAGTCTTCATTGGTGTATCGGGAGTCTTAATCCATCTCCACTATAACGTAAAATGAAGTGGCAATTTTTAGTCTAACAAGAATTATAGAAAATAAAATAAAATAAGATGTAAAGCTTTTCAAATTCACAGAATGTCTTTCGCATAAATGTGTGCGTTACTGCGTGTCTGTGT